TGCAAGTCCTTTTGTCGCCTAAATCGGAGTCAGTACGTTGATATGATTTTTTATTATGGACATGATCAGACATGATCGAACTCACATTCCACACTGCACCCTTACTCGCGTTATACCACACCAGCCCCGGCCTGGGCCTTGTTGCACCCACACTAGCGATGTTGATGATCACACCACCCTCTTTCCTCTCAATGGCCTGATTAACCCACGCCTGACACCCCAGATACACACCCTTGACATTGACATCAAACACGCGTTCAAACTCCTCCTCTGTAACGTCCAGCGTCGGCTTGTTCACGTACGACCATCCGGCATTGTTGATCAGGATGTCGCAACGGCCGAACTTCTCCTTCACAGCAGCCATGGTAGCTTCCCAGTCGGCACGCTTGGTCACGTCCATCTTGTGCGCTGCGAGGTTGGCGCTGTCTTTTGCGGCGGTGGCTTGCGCGGTCGACTCGTTGATGTCGCAGACGAGGACTTTGGCGCCTTCCTGGGCGTAGCGGAGCGCGATGCCGGCGCCGAAGCCTGAGCCTGCGCCTGGGGGATGTCAGTCATAGATAGCTGTGGCAGGGTGGGGGAAGTACCAGTCACGATTGCTACTTTGCCATCGAGTCTGCCCATGGTGGTTGCTTGAGGTGTATTGGAGCTGTAGAAGGCTGATTGCGTACACTGGGACAGAGAGTTGTTCTGGACTGCTATAGTGTGATGGTGTTGACGGTGAGTACTAGACGGCAGCGACGACCAAGTAACCGAGCTTGTCCCTCCATCACCACGGGGTTCTTCCCGCCATCTGACTCCACAATGCACCGCACAAGGCAGTCGCGTCCTACGGTTTACCAATCACAGCAGTACCGAGCCAAAGCCGCAAACGCCGTGTTGCGGAGAAGCAGACACGATGAGGGGTAACAGATGGGTGCGCTGACGTCGGGCGGACAGCGGTGGTGGTCGGCCTAGATGCAAGCTGATTGGTGATCGGTGTGTCGGCTATATGGCGTATATGGCGGTTAGGTGGGGTCCACGCCTAGATAGCATTGACCCAGGAAGCCTCAAAGGTGGGCTGGGTCCCGATTGTTCTCGTGAAAGTTTCCGCTCCTGTTCTTCGGTTCTGTATTTGTTGTAAAGATCCCTCGCCATTTCATAAGTAAGATGGGCTCAGCACAGAAATACGAGCTCCCGTTCAAGGTGAGCATGAGCTTTAAAGTCTGCAGAAGCCTATGATTGACCAGATACAGCTCCAAAACCCCGAGCTGCTTCACAACCAGTCGTGTATAGGCGGAGAATGGAAAGACGCAAAGTCCGGAAAGACGTTCGAAGTCGTTGGTTTGTGTACCGCCTCAATTCTTCGTCCATCTGAACTGACTAGATCTTAGATCCCGGAACCGGAAAGGCATGGATTGAGTGCCCCACAAACGATGCATCAGATGTCGACGCAGCCGTCAAGAATTCTCATGATGCTTTCCTCGAGTACAAGAAAGTTGGCCCACGCCAAAGAGCACAATGGCTGTACAAATGGGACCAGTTGATCCGCGAGAACAAGGAGGATCTTGCCACCATCCTCGTCTACGAGACCGGAAAGCCTCGCTCTGAGGCCTACGGCGAGATCGACTACTCGACTGGCTTCACATGGTGGTTCGCCGGAGAGGCGGAGCGCATTCAGGGCAGCAACTTCATCCCCGCGTTACCGAACCGCCGCATCTTCACAATCAAGCAGCCAGCTGGTGTTGCTGCCGCGCTGGTACCTTGGAACTTTCCTATTGCTATGATATTGCGAAAGGCTGGCGCGGCTCTTGCTGCGGGGTGCACAATGATCGTAAAGCCTAGCCCAGAGACACCCATCACCGTCCTCGCATTGGCTCACCTTGCGCTCAAGGCTGGGTTCCCAAAGGGAGCGCTCAATGTGCTGACCACCGATCTGGACAAGACACCTGAGCTCAGTGAAGCGCTTTGCCGCCACCCGCTCATTGCTAAGGTCACGTTTACTGGATCTACCAGAGTCGGAAAGCTGGTCGCAAAGATCTGCGCAGACAACTTGAAGAAAGTAACCTTGGAGCTGGGAGGAAATTGCCCAGTTTTAATCTTTGATGATGCGAACATCGAGCAGGCGATGTCTCAGATCTTCGCGCTGAAGTACCGTCACGCAGGTCAAGCCTGCATTACCGCAAACCGCATATACGTGCAGTCAGGTATCTTCGACAAGTTCCTTGAGCGGTGGAACGCCGAGACAGACAAGATCGTTGTAGGCCACGGCTCAGACGAGAAGACCACGATGGGTCCGGTCACAACACCTCGTGGTGCTCAAAAGGCCCTGGAGCTTGTGGAAGACGCAAAGAAGAAGGGCGCAAAGGTCCATAAGGGTGGAAACAAGATCGACGGCAAGGGTGGATACTTCTTCGAGCCCACTGTGATCACTGGCGTGACCCCGGACATGGATATTGCGAACGAGGAGGTGTTCTCGCCCATCTGCACGTTCATCAAGTTCGACACAGAGGAGGAAGCGGTCAAGAAGGCAAACGACACTTCGATGGGTCTTGCTTCCTATCTGTTCACTAAGAATGTCGATCGCCTGTGGAGGTTGTTTGAGAGCCTCGAGGCTGGTATGATTGGTCTGAACACTGGTAAGTCTACGAGTAGCAGTTCATGCATATGAAGAACTACGCCAGCTAACGACAGTAGGCAACTCGTCGGCTGCAGAGTCGCCGTTCGGTGGTATCAAGCAGAGTGGATACGGAAAGGAGTCGGGTAAGGATGTGGCTGTGAACGAGTACCTGATCACAAAGACAGGTACCTTCACATTGGAAGAGAACGCCTGAATGGTCATATAGGCAGCAGCTAGATCGTTTGAATGCGTACATGATGCAAGCAACGTCGAGACAATAGATTGGTAGTGATGTCGTCCAGACAGGACGTTTGACCCTGACAGCTCATGCAGGTGTGATGGCGCGTGCGCGAACGTGGAGTGTCGGCAACATCATCCATCGGTCTCGGAACAAGACCTACACCTCTCCCACCCCGCGACTGATCTTTCCATTGCTACAACACCACCCCATAGTTCTTCAAGATGGACGTCGAAATGGGAGATGACTTCGACATTGATGTCGGTGCGGGCGTTGAAACTTCAAGCGCGCAGCCACAGCAGGCGCAAGCAGTGAGTTGAGCCAGGCGCGTTGTCCGTCTCACGCTGACCATGCCGCGCAGCAGCCAGAACAGCCCACACAAGGCGATTCGGTGCCAGCAGCATATTTCGAGGACCTCCAGCCACAGAAGCCATGGCCCGAGTACCTGAACCTGCAAGGCGTCAGCGACTTCGACCCCAACGATCCCCTCTACTACGCCATGGAGACGCTTGGCACAGAACCGCGCGTCAAGCAACTGCGCTGGGTCAACGACAACTCTGTGAATCTCGAGTTCTACAGCCCCGAAGACGCCGCTCTCGCCCTGACCGCGCTTACACATCCCGACACGAACGCAAACTCCATCGCCGCGCAGACATCTCGGCCCGCGAAGCCCTACTCCAAGAAGCCCGACAGCGCCCTGATCGTACGTGAGGCAAACGTCAGCGACCAGAAGCCCAAGGGCGCCGCCAACCGCAGCAATTACTACCAGCGCAACCCCGATGTCAGAGACAACAAGCAGAGGGAGCCACGGCGCCGACAGCCACCCAAAAGAGACCTCCTAGACTATGGCGATGACGACCAGGGCTCAAGGAGCCGGAGGAGAAGAAGGTATGCATGCATGCTTCTTTTGGCTGCGTCTTGCTAACTCGAGCAGCCGCAGTGGAGACATGTCAATGGATGAAGATTCGGGTGTAGAGAGGCGGAGGAATAACTACCCGCCCAACGAACGGAACGGCCGCGACCGCCGCGACGGGCGAGACAGACGACCAAGAGACTCAGGCAGGCTCAATGCTGACGTCGACTCTTATAGGCCGGGAGGTGACTCGTACGATATTTCTGCCGATCTAGCAATGGACCATACTAACATCATTCAGTGAATCGCGACATGGTCGTCTGCGAGGTCGCAGTGCGTCCCCTGCTTCAGGCGACGAGGGCGACGGTCGATACGGTTTTGCAGAAGACAGCACCAACGTGCGCACCCGCTACCGCAGTCGGAGCCGCAGTCGCAATGCCCGACGCCGCCGCGACCCAAGCACTGAACGATGGACCCACGACCGTGCGAACTACGGAGAGAAAGGTGGAAAGTCTGATGGGCGCTGGCAGAAAGACATGTTCTACGTCGACACATCGCCCATGGGTAACCACCGCCGTTCAGACGCTGGGTCTGGCGGCTCCCTGCTCTCTCGCATGACCAAGGACGGCAGACCCGTCAACTCGCTGGCCAGTAGGATCACTCGCGACGACGATGATGAGCCGAGACCGCGCTCACTAGCAAGTCGCATGACACGCAACGGTGGCAATGAAGAGTACGGCCGCTTGAAGGGCGACGACAGTGTACCGCGCGACTATGAATTCGACGAGCCCAAGCCTCGGCGCGGATTGGCCGACCGCATATCGCGCGAGACTGAGGGCATCAACATTCGTGGGCAGGGATCGAATGGTGGGAGCGGTATCAACATTCGAGGCGCCGCTTCCTAGGAGGAGGACGATGAATGGGACTCTGCCGCGAATATGTTGAAGGACAAGATCATGTACGATTCTGCAACTGAGACAGACATGCCCGACAGTGTATAGGCAAGGTTGTAGGACAAGGGATCATATGACGATGTACGAAGATTGGAAGACGGAAGATAATACTCTACTACGGCTTGCTTAGGCAGGGCTGAACAAATGCACGAAGCTGCACAGAACACACCCTATAAACAAAGCGCGCCACAAGTTTCGCAGCCCGTCACAGCCCCACTCAAGTTCGCTGCGCCATCACCTGCTAGACGTACCCACACGATCGCCACTAAGACCCTGACAGCGCCTCAGGGAAGGAGATCATGCGGTATATAAATGTTGCCAACCGACATCCATGTCAGAAGTTCATACAATCCACTTCCGGTCTCCGTGGCGCAATGGTAGCGCGTTGGACTTCTACCACCTCTCATCGGTCATCCAAAGGCTGCGGGTTCGAGCCCCGCCGGAGATGCTTTTTGCCATATGATATTTTTGCTCCGATGCGCGGGTAATGGCAGGAGCAAACACCAGGGCGAAACAGGCAAGCAAGCGCGTTGCTTTTGCTTGGGCTTTCATCAACATCTGACAGGGTAGGGCTTACTGCTGGGCTCAGCAGGTCCGACTGGAGCGTCTCTGGTCTTGACAGCCCTATACGAAACATGTGTACTCGCACAAACACCGAGAAGTCTGTGGCAGGTAGAGCACGAGCGTGCGTGTTGATTGATGCTTTTCGTCTCGGAAGGAGACAAGTCTACAAATATCCTACCATTCCATCCCAGTCTCTTATTGCTATGCCTGCCGCCGAAGGCCCCATGGTCGTTACTCTCGTCTTCCAATGTCGTGTTTCTTTTTCCCGTGATTTTCGTAGACGACCAGTCAAGGTGTCTTTCGTCCTGCATCCATTACCCAAAACGCCATAACCCGAACGCTGCAAGATAGTCAAAAATGGCTCCGAAGAGACGGAGAAATACACGCAACAAGCCCGGCCTGCGCACCTGTCGCCCGAAATGAAATGCTAGCCTAGCCTCCTCCAGCGATCCCATAGCTAGTACGGATAGAAGGTGAGCAGCGCAACGGCGCGCAGCCACTAGAAACGCCCTCGCTCCTGGACGCGCTCGATGCCGTCGGTGAAGCTCCGCGTCAGGCCTACACTCGCCCAGAAGTCGTCACCGATATCGCCGCGCCGGGTAAGGCGCTCGAGGAGACTGCGGGCGTCGCGCAACTCTTGGTCGAGCGGGGAGGCTGGACCTGTGCTCGGCGCTTCGTCGTCGACAGTCGTGAAGCTGTCGGCTTCCTGCTCGCGCTGGTCACGCGTAAGATGGTCGACTGGCTCGTCGACAGGCCCATCGACCTGAGCGTCGCGCGCTCCAGGCAGTTCGTAGCCGCGCTCTCCTGGGAGTGCGTAGTTGCCCGAGTAGAAACTGCGCACGTATCTCCGCGCATCGCTGCTGGTATCCATGAGCCTCCTCCCGTACGACCTCGGGGTGGGCGGTCCGTCAGCGAAGTAGCTGGGGCGGATTCGTCTCCGAGACAGTGGGTTTGCAGCGGCCTCGTCCTCGGTGTCAGAGGCGGTCGAGTCGCCTTCGTCTGAAGATTCGCATGCCCGCGCGAAGCTCTCGGGGACTTCTTCGCGCCTACGAGAGCCAGGGCTTGCGCGGCTGGACGGGACGGTGAGTTGTGTGCGCTCGCTCGCGGCCGAGTTCGAGTTGCTGCTACTGGCTCGACTGCTGGAGGCTGCAAACGAGGCACTCGCGGCGGAAGAGGCAAAAGATGATTCGGCTGTGGGCGCAACCGGGTCCGGGACGACGGTGGTGAGGAACGTCTGCCACGGCAGGTTCGACGAGGTGCTGGATACGCTGTTGCTGCGCTCACGGTCGCCGAGGCCGTCGACGGTCGAGACAGGAGACCAGGACTCGCGGAGGGACGAAGCGGGCAGCGGGCCGTCGGCGATCCTGCGGTGGCCGACGCGACGGAGGGGTGGGTGGGAGACGGCGTTGGTGGTGCTGAGCGTCTCGTCGTCCGAGGCGCCGGGACTGCTCTCGCGACGCCTGGCTGGCCTGGCATACGGCGTGTGTCGTCGGCCAGAGGTCCAGCTTGTGATGCGGCCGGGCTGGGGCAGAGGCGGAGGCGGAGGCGCAGCTTCCTCGAGGGCAAGCAGCTGGCGGCGGCGGCGGCGGTTGGCTTCGTCGACTTCTTCCAGCTCACTGCCGTGTTGGCTGGACAGGCGTGGTGGTGAGCCGCCTGGGAAGCGCCGCAGCATGCGCAGGTCAGCCAGGCCTGTCGTCTCGTCGTCGGGCGTGTCGGCCGGGGGGTCCGCCGGGGTGTCGTTTGCCTGTGTGCTCTCACGCAGACGGGCAGGCGCGAAGCCGGGAGTCAGCGACGGCAGGCTGCGCTCGTCTCCTAAGCTGGACAGCCGCGGACGCAGCTCCTCGCGGTCAAAGTCTGCCTCTCGCAGCTCAGGGACGGGCGGCGCGGGCGGCAGGCGGGTGCGGGCATGCGAGAGGCGCGACGCGTGCTCGAGGGCGCTGGCGAAGCGTGACGTATGGCCGTCTGCGAGGGCGTCCGTGTCGGCGGCCCTGTGGTTCCTCGCTCGCGCATGCCGGCGGATGGGCGAGCGGCCGGTCAAGTCTGCGCGTAACACGTCCTTCTCCTTGGCCTCGTCGCGCACAATGTTCCAGCCGACCGGGATGCCCATCGCGAACAGTCGCCGCGCAAGAGAGTGTAAAAGTGGGTAGAGAGCGGGAGCCGCGAGCGGGAGCGGTGGGAGATGCGGTCGTGATGGACACGCGCCTCTGGAGTCTAGGGCTGCGAGAGGGCTGACCGAGTGGGCCAGCGAAGGGGCCTCGTCGCGCTAGTCGAATGAGGCTGAATTATGCATGCAGCCTGCGACGTGGAACGCAGGCCTGGAGATGTTGACGTGTAGAAGATAACGGATGCAGCATGTATGCGACTACTACGGAGAGACGACCGTTTGTTTGTCACTCCACCACTGCTCATGTGTCTGCCCCTCCTTCTCCTGCTCATCTCGTTACACGGGTGGCAGTGGCCACACCTCCGACTCAGACACGCCTGCCAAGGCCTTGCTGCCTGATTCGGCCTGGACAATCTCTCAGCCATCTCGCCCATCTGCATCCAATCATCGCGTTACGTCGACCCCATCCTGACTGCAACGCGCTACGAGTCTGTTGTTGCCTATGACATCTTGACGACCCTCAATGGCTAAGATCCAGCCCGGACTGGAGCGTATCTCAGCCCTCCTCAAAGATGCAACCTACCCATGGAAAGCCATTCACGTAGCCGGCACCAATGGCAAGGGCTCAGTTTGCCACTATGCCTCGTCCATGTTGGTCGGCAGAAGCGTCAAGGTGGGAAAGTTCACGTCGCCCCATCTAGTAGACAGGTAGGGCAAACATACCTCCCACGATTCTTTCACTCCGATTAACAAGTCAGATGGGATTGCATTCAAATCAACGGCGAGCCAGTAGCAGAGTCAAAGTTCCGCGTGGTCGAGAGACATTATCTTGAGCTGAACAAGAAGCTCAACATTGGCGCCTCTCCATTCGAGATTCTGACCGCTGTTGCGTTTACTTGCTTTCACGATGCGAAGGTCAAGGTCGGTGTTGTCGAAGTCGGTATGGGTGGCAAGCTCGACTCGACCAACGTACTCAACAACCAAGTTATATCAATCATTAACAAGATCGCCCGTGATCACCAAGGTTTCCTTGGGAACACCTTGTCGGAAATTGCAGGCCACAAAGCCGGTATTCTGAGGCCCGGTGTTCCTTACATTGTTAACTCCACGAATGAGGCCAACGTCCAGTCTGTCATAGATGACTACGCACATTCGATTGGAGCGGGCCCTCGTCTGCTGTCCACCAGCTTAAAACTTCAGCAGAGGCTATATGGTTCTCCAGAATGGCAGCGTGTAACCACCAAGTTGCTGCCTTTCCAGCAAGAGAACCTCAAGCTGGCTATGGTCGCAGTCATGCAGACATTGGAGAATCTGGGCGAGAGCACAACCCCGACAGAAATTGCGAAAACTCTGCTGCTCAATACAAGTCATCGCCATCAAGGACGTCAAGAATTCATTGCCGCAATACCAATCTTCAAGGAGGCCACTCAGAGGAAGAACCAGATCCTTGTAGACGGGGCGCATAATCCAGACGCTGCAGAAACGCTAAACGAGTTTGTACAAAATAATTTGAGATTTGGGCATTCACCTCGCGCAGAGCGACCTGCAGCTGGGTGGCCTGTCACGTGGGTGCTTGCGATGACTGAAGGCAAAGACGCTCACGAGTATCTTGCAAAGATCCTCAAACCAGGAGATAAGGTCGTCACTACAACCTTCGGCCCGGTCGATGGCATGCCATGGGTAAAGCCAATGGACCCTAAAGCACTCTTGAAGGTTGCCAGGTCTGTTGAGCCGACGATCACTGGCGTCCATGTTCCTGTCATTGGCGCACTGCGAGCTTTGTTCACTGCGAAACACATGTCGAACCAAATTGCGCAGTGGGCCCCAATCGCTCTGACTGGTAGTCTGTATCTTGTTGGCGACCTCCATCGTGAACTCCGATCAAGATCGTCCAAAACTTGGTGGACAGACACAAGCGAGGCCGCACAAGCCGACAGGGAAGTTTTCCTAAATATCCAAGCAGAAGAACGAGAGCGTGTTGGCGCTGCCTCGGACTCCAAAGGCTCCACCGCGACCACACCTGGCGTACGTGCAGACTCCGCTGCCGAGGAGCAGAGGAAGCTACAAGAGGAACTCGACGCACTGAATCGCGAAGTCCAAGGACTTGAGATTGAAGAGAATCGTCTTTTGAAAGATCGGTCCACAACGTTGTGCTTGATCGACGATGAACAGGCTCTGAGCGCAGTCGAACGTCTCGAGCTTGACGGGCGGTTTGCAGAACTTCACTCGACTCCAGAGCAGATCACCGCCTCCCTCGCAAGAGCTGAGAAGGCCAAAGAAGCGCTAGCTCGCCAACAGGTTGTGCTGGAAGCTGCAGCCAAAGCGCGGGAAGAAAGGAAGGAGAAGCGCCTCACACATAAGAAGCGTCTGGAAGAGCGGCGCGAAAAGAAGGCAGCGCAGAGAAATTTTGCAAAGGAGTAGAGTGCACAACAAATACTTTAAAGGATCAGACTCGAAACGAAGCACACGACTCCGGGCTGGCTACGAGGGGCGATACGAAAGGATGAGAGTTTCCGTAAAAACCTTTTGCAAGAAGGGGAAGCCTTCGAGTTTGGACATGGAGATGCGGTCACCTTTAGGACCCTAGGACACAAAGTGCTTTCTTATCCTGAGGCCAGAGCCCGAGCTACTATCATGGGTACACGGGATCCTACGCAACGAGACGCAGCGCTAAATGAAGTATTGTCTGATGTGGTCGATCGATGCAATCGGAGCTCTTCCTCGCTCGACGAACCACACGCAGTGGCACCTTCTCAGCCCGTTGCAGTGTGAATCGCAAT